AAGAGTCTGAGACAGATTAGCAATGAATTCATTGTGTATGGCATCTCGACGAGTATCGTCGCGTTGCCTGTCTGAAGCTTTCGATTTTTGCAGCGGGTAACAATCAAGGTAGACACCAAGAAGATGCCCGATGAGCACACAGGAACCGGGGGACCCCAAAAAACAAAAGCATGAAAAACAAAAGAAAGAAAGAAGCGAGAACAAACGAGTCAGACGCGACAGGCTTCAGGGAGGAGGCAAAAGAGCGCATAGAAGAAAAGCACCGTCGCCGCTCGCTCCGGACCGCTGGAAACTCTCACATAGCACTACATATGGAGCAAATATTAGGTAGGGCCCAAGTCCATTGCTTGGCATAACGCCCATCGCTTCACATGCAGCAGCCGGATGCACGGGTAGCCTCTTACTCAGCAAAAAGCGAAACGACTGCGGTTGGTTGACGTTCGATGTTGTTGGGACCCTACCGGCGAAAGGCGAGAGAGAGAGAAAGAGAGGTAGACAAAAATACGAGAGCGGAGAGAAGACAAGGCATTGACTCTCTCGAGAAGAGAAGGCATTGACTCTCTCGAGAAGAGAAGGCATTGACTCTGTCGAGAAGACACTCACTCTCGTCCCTCTGGCCCGCCGCAGGCTGTCAGACATGATGTCACGTTGTGTATCGAACGGCGATATCCGATGTCGGCTCAGCAACAGCAAACAAGCACAACAACAAACAAATATAGTCAGTCGCCGTGTGCGAGCTGTGGACTACTATCTTGTTGTAGGAAGTGAGAACTAAAAAGAGCACGACTACATAGCACCACGGACGAACTATTATCGCAATACGCTTGCCGTCCGCCATAGATGCGCACCGCTGCACGAACGAGCTGTTGGTTATCATACCTCACTACGTAGTATCTAAGATTGTGCTGCCATCTAGCTTACCTATCGCTCAAATTACGACTACGCAGCAGACTCAAGGCAAGGAAGCAACACGCGTGCCGATGCATACCAACCATGCATGCAGCAAAACAAAACAAGGGCGGACCGTCTGTTGTTGTTTGTCTCTTCAACTGACTGTGCTGCCGACAACGACACTGGAAAAAAGTAGGAGACGCGCATCGCCTACGCGAGCAACGCGTGCAGCCCAAAAAAACAGAGACGATAACCTTACGACCTTTCTTTTCAGCACATTCCGAGCATATACTGCAGCAACCGCAAGTATGTGTACAGCAGCAGCCGCATGTTGTGTACAACAACGGTCACTCAGGAAGAAAATCACAACAACAAACAAACGCAAAAAAAAAAAGGTGGTGGCGCGCAGCACGCAGGACCCTCTTTCGCTTTGAACCGGCCATTCCCATGGCGAAACAGACAAGGTACAGCAGTGAAGGCCGACTCTTGCCGGCCCCAGGAGGCGGAAGCTGCTACAACTCGGGGACGGGTCATGATTTGCGATTGATTCCTCACCGAACGGATATCGAACGATGACACTACTGTTTCAACTAGCTTCAGAAAAGCTTCAAAATTAATTGTGAAACTTGCATAGAGATGGCAAGTAAACACCCCGTTCCAAAGAATATCTGTCGTTGATTTTTATTGACTTGCGGACCTTTCGGGGCCAGTTTGTTTTAGCGTACCTCTTTAGGGTAAGTTAGCCTGTGACCACGGGAATCGACCGCGTCAAGTGTTGGATCAGTACGCACATATGAAGGTACTGGGTAGAGAGAGATCTGAACGGTTTTTAATGCGAAGACAACAACAACAACAACAACAACAACATTTAAAACTGAACTAATGGGTGGTGGGCGGATGACCGGCGGACCCCAAAAAGCAAGCGGAAAAATAAAATATAGACTATGTTAAGAAAAAAAAGAAAAAGAAGAAGGGACGACAAAGACAAGTGAGCCAGACGCGACAGGCTTCAGGGAGGTGGCAAAAGAGAGCATACGAAAACCACCGTCGCCGCTCTGAACCGCTGGAAGCTGTCACATAGCACAGCATGCAGCAAACATTATAGGGGCCATGCCCCCGTTGCTTCAAGTAAAGAGGCAGCGCCCATCGCCTCACATACAGCAGCCGGGTACGTACTACACAAATAGCCTCTTACTCAGCAAGAAGAAAAACGATTGCGGTTGACGTTCGATGTTGTTGGGACCCCAACGGCGATAATAGGCGAGAAAGGAGAGACAGGTGCTACTACTACGTAGATCAACAGAAGAAAGCGTAGAGAAGGCATTAATTAACTCTCGAGACCCTAACCGAAGACACTCACTCTCGTCCCTGTGGCCCACCGCAGGCTGTAACGAACGACGACATCCGATGTGTGCTCAGCAACAACAAACGCAACAAACCAAATATAGTCGCCGTTTCCGAACTAACTGTGGAGACTGAAGTGACAACGAAATAGAAAATGATGACGAGAAGCACCACGGACGAACTATTTTCTCAATACGCTTGCCGTCGCGATAGACGCGCACCGTTCCACGAACGACCAGTTGTCAAACCTCACTACGCAAATAAGATTGTTGTCCTGCCATCTACCCCTTATCGCTCAAATTACGACTACGCAGCACACTAAAGGTAAGTAAGGCAGCAACACGCTTGCGATGCTTTACCACCCATCCATGCATGTAAGAGAAGAAAAAAAAAAGGGTATGGCGGACCGTCTGTTGTCTGTATCTTCAACCGTGCTGCCGTTGCTTTTCTTCATGGATATCGGCACAGAGAAAAAATGAGGAATGCGCATCTCCTACGCGAGCACGGCGTGCAGCCCAAGCGACAGAGACGATAACCTTATGACCTTTGCAGCATCTTCCGAGCATAACAGCAGCCACCGCATGTGTACAACGGTCACTATAGACTAAGGAAGAAAATCACAAAATCACTGGTTATCGCCCCACAGCGAGCGATAGCTGCTCAAACGACTGTGAGAGGTCTTGAAATCGTCTCAGCTACCCCAGAACTGCTGGTAGTTGCCGGAGATTTGCAGGTACGTACTGCTTTTGCCTACCACTCTCGTCCTCTCGTCCGCACATCAACAACAACAATAAATGCTAATTTTCGCACCACAAAAGAGCCATCCATGCAGAAAGTTGCAACAACAGAACAAAAGCAGCTCCTGCTGTATGTACACAGAATGTCCAGCTGTGTGCTGAGGTCGGTCAGCATCTCGAGAGAAGCGTAGCCAGCAAGCAAGGCTTGGCGCGGGACACGAGAGAAGCAAGCAAGGCTTGGGGCGGGCGGCGAAAAAAAGAAGACGACTCTATATAAAAAGATCTGTAAAAAGAAGGGTTGGCGCGGGCGGCGAAAAAAATGAAGACGACTCTTATACAAAAAGATCTATAAAAAGAGGACCCTCAACGACAAGTCAACCAATCTGGTCGTTCCGATGTGACGATGTAACGCAGATCTTCTTGTCGACGGAGAAACTGGTTATCGCCCCACAGCAAGCGATAGATGCTCAAACGACTGTGAGAGGTCTTGAAATCGTCTCAGCTACCCAGAACTGCTGGTAGTTCTCGGAGGTTCGCAGTGTGGGCTGAGATCGGCCTTTTCGACCCGGTCGGGCAAGGGGTCCGCTATGCTACTGAAAACTCCACAGACGGAAAAAAAAGACTTTTGATCGACTGAGACCCAAGCTAGAGCTTGGGAATAATTCCAAACACCGTGACCCTGGGTTTCCGGTAGAAAATGAAGCCAAATTCTAATTCGACTCTTACAAAATAAACACCAGTTTATTCTATCTGCTTCGACGAACAAACCTTCCTCTTTTTTTGTTGTTGTAGTGTAATGCGAGGATAACAACCACACCAAGATAGGGTGGTTCTCCGCCCGATCAATTCCTCCCTTTGCGGCGGGTGCTCTCCAACATAAAGTTTATTGCGTGAGAAAGTCCGGCAATCCCTTCTATTCAGTACTACTGCTGTGCCTTTTTCTGCGGAGTTTTCACTCCCGGAGAGACCAAACCCTCGACCACGTACAAGAAGGGTCAACATAAATAACTACGGAGTATCTGGTTTGTAGACTAGACTAAATATAAAGCCGATGTGTGGACGAACTAAATTACATGCTGCCTGAGCTACTGAAGCTGATCCGCCACCCGGGTGCCCGAATGATGTACCACTTTTTTCCCGGTGTTCCTACAGCCGAATGTTCAGGAGGCCTGTGACGCAACCGTCCGCAAGTCTTGGACACCGCCGTCGGTGAGAAACCGAGTTGGGCCGAGGATAGGGTTCAACATTGTGTCCCGCTCCAGCATCATACATGCACCACTGCCACAGCCTTCAAAGACGAAACGCATCCGCATCCGACACAACAATGACTCTTTTACCAGTCTATAATAGAAGTACGAAGTACCCCGTTATCTTCTGCTACCGCCTACTACTCGGCAGCATATTTTCCTCGCTTGATAACACCACTTATTGTACACGCAAGCGCAGATTCGCACTACCGAGACGAACGTCGCAATGCTTGAAGACAGTCTATTGGCTAAAACAACGTGTGCCTCAGAGGACCGTACAGGCCGGCTGGTGCCCGAGCTGCCAATCGCACATCGATAATACTACAATCAAGAATATATTCCACACATATTTAGCGTAGGGTTGGATTATTCACGCCTCGAGAATGGGCGTCCGTGCCCGAGCCGTCATTGGCCAAAAGATCAAAATATCGCTTCCCTTACCCATTACCAATAGACCCTTAAACAAAAAATACTACATTTTCCTCCAGATTCCCACGCATCCTGTCCTTGCAACCCGATAAACTCGAGGAGCCGATGAAATCCTTGAGCCCCCTCTCCCAGACAGTTACGCGATCGACCCCCCGGCGGGGTTGCCGCATCCAAGTAAGATCGCCAAAACATTGCGTATAAATCGTTCCTCACTGACCGAATTCTTCTATCGCCACCTCCTGGTGAGGAAAATCAGTTACTGTGGTACGGATGACAGCCCATCTTGCACGAGCATCACTAGTCAGCCAGGCAGGCTAGAACGGCGTCCAAGCGTCGATTGCAGCCTTGGGCCGAACGTAACATGCCCTCGCTCTCTTTCCAAAATGCCAATCGCTGTACACCCTCTGGGGCGTGTTCTAGAGGAGGAGAGGACCGGGGAACTCCAATGGCCTAACCCGGAAACATCTAGCACGCCGAGAGAGCCCTGCGGTAGTAGTACGAAGGACTTTTCACCGGATGGAACATTTCATCGAAAAAAAAACATCGCATCAACCTCCCGTACCAATGCAATCCCGTTCGCTATGAAACCATGGTTTTGCGAGTGAGGGATCCCAGCGCGTGAAGGTTTCCTCAACCGAACCCAGCTACCCTCACCGAACATGGTAGAACCGCAACACTCCGTAGATCGTATTCAACCCACGAAAACCAGGTTTGGTCTGTTATCTTAGGAGGACGTTTCACTCAATTCGACGGGTGGCCTTGTGACCTCTGAAACGGGGTTCGGGGTAGAGTCCTCCCCGAAGGGATCAAGCATACCCCACGGTTCCTCGGGGTGGCTAATGCACCAGGACCCGAGCCGAGCCTTAGCGAGGACGTTCTGCATCACGGAGGCGGCCGCTTCGGTCCCCAACTCGACTCCCTTGATCGCCTCGGCCGCCACTCCGGCGAGGCTGTACGTTACCGGCAGAATGATACGCCTCTCAACGTCAGTGTCGACCTGTGGTTACGAGAGTGCGTTGAGGGAATCTAAAAACTCTTGTTGGAGAATTCTTAGCCCTTGGGGGCGTGGCAAGCGTTGTCTTACTAACCTCCCGAGCCCCAGGTCACTAAAGTGAATGAAGCGCCGGCACGCCCCAATGTTAGCAAAGAGTCACGAGGTGGCGTTTCTACGGGAAACGTTTGTATTCGAATGAATGCGGTGGACTACGCTACAGAGTGGATGAACCCTGTTCGTCACGGTGGACGCCGGCTCCAACTTTCGGTTTGAGCGTCATACACGTACACGTCGTCAAAGTTGGCGAAATCCATCATACAAGAGTATCGAAGATATAGGACAAGCTACCGTCGACATCGTCAACACGCTTAGTCACAAACGTGGGGGAATTAAAAAAAAAAAATCACATGTTCGTATACGATCGCACAGAGTACGTAGAAACCCTTCGAAGGTTATTGTCAAACACTGTCGCAGACTCAAAACGAACCTCCTCGCCCCTGTTGTTCATCTTTTGCCACTCGACCTCGTACGGTTTGCCACGCTCGTGGATCTGGCGAAGATCCGAATACCGAGAGATAGCAAAGCGTTGCAAGACGGTCCACCATGCCGGAGGCAGCATGTGTCAGATGAAAGTGAGAACGTCCCATGGTGCTTCGACACCATCGATACCACATTGCAGACGACGCAGTTCACGTACAACAACCAGCATAAAGCAAAACCTTCGCTGCTCCTATCGCAAGGTCAGCACACCGTGTTGATGAAGTAACGTATTTCATCGACGAAAACACGAACGTCAAGATCGGGGTACAGCAGTCCTGTTTGACAAACGTACTGCTGACTCACTAAACAACTTGGAGCGTGCAAATAAAGCATCGCCCCAAATGAACGCTGACAGCATCTATTGAACTGCTCCATTGGTTCGAGTCGTCGAGAAGATGGTGCGAATTAAACTTACAGAGCGGGGGTACTGGCCATTCCTAGCGAGAACCTCGTCGTTGACAAACAAATATACAACAGTTCGAAAGCACTGTAAGAAGCAGAGGAGCGGCATCTGAGGCCTCACTTATGGGGCAAACCGCCAATGCCACATAGATGAAAAACCATGGAATGGATCCTTGTCCTTGCAATGGAAATACGATGTAGATTCGTGACGGAGACCTCTCCCGTGGAGAAACGCTACGGCGCATGTGATTGTTCGCGCAATCAGCGTAGCTCTTGTTATAGCAGGCTCACATGCGCTAAAAGAGAATATACGACTGAGAGACCAGTATGATTAAAGTGCCGAGACTTGCTGCTGTGGCCACAGAGCGCAAACCACGGCGGTTGAGCATGCTCGAGGACCCTACACCACACGGGCAACGGACCGCGAACTTTGGTGAATGTTGAAACCCTCACAATCCCCCAAATATATATATATATATTGTCTTCACTTCAAACCAGCGCTCACAGAACTAGTGCCGTTTACTCCAACCCGTGGTCACACAGAAGAGCCCCTCTCTACCCTCCCCTCCTGCGGTACTTTGCCTTCGATTTTTAATAAAATGCGAGAAGAGTTCAGCACTCTCTTCCCTCTGTGTACACACGAACTAGCGCTATCCACTAGGCCAGGAGCGGAAGGAGAGAAAAACCCACTTTGCAAGAAAAGCTCGCTTACGCCGGGATTCGAGCCCCTGACTTGACCTCTAGAAGGTTTCGAGGAACCAACTAGACCACCGGGGCGAACGGCAATGACGGGTGTGTGGTCAAGAGAGCTGACGAGGACCTCCAGCCTTGTAGGGGTTATCATAGAGCTGGCTGTGGTGCGATCCGCAACGGCGTTGTATAAAGCTTGAAACATAACAAGAACATTCATATCGACCCAACCATGCACGTCATCACCAGCCCCTGCTGCCCTGAAGAGAGATCACACGCACCTTCTGGACGATTCCGCTGTCCCACCATGTGTCTCCGCCGTTGCCTTCTCCGCTCTTGATAAATATTCCTATCGAGAGGGTCCAAGGATAAGCATACGGGAGTTCGAGATGTGCGAACAACGCGAAAATAGGAACAACGGGGCGTACGCGTAGAGGGCGACACGAACACTGGCATGATCGGCGAGCTTAATCGGGCAACACGCCGTGAAGCATAAGGGCGTCGTTCCCCACCTACAACTGTGGGGTTCCCAGACCGTCCTTTTCTCTTGACAATTTCTCATCGGAAACATTGGCCATTTTCGTGTCGATTCCGTTGGGGCCCAACACGATTGACAGGAGGAAAGTGTCTCAAGACACAACTAAGCAATTCGGGTCTTGCACGTGATTGAGGGTGTGTGCCTGAGTGAAGCGGACAAACGAAGCTTCGCGTCCGTCATAAGAGAAAAGGGATGCAATCGAATTGCGAGGCGTGATGGGACCTACCATGGATGCCCCATTGCACACTCAGTCCCTGCCGCTTTAGTATTCTTCGATGGCACGATGATTATTGCTCACTTTCACATTCTTCTACAGGCAGCCTCTGGTTTGGAATCTTGCCCTTTGTGGGTTTCGCTTGGATGGTCAATGCGATTTAGCAGAGCGTCACGTCTAGATCCTTCACAAAATAGTCTCACGATCAAGGCCAGGGTTTGTTAGCCAACTCATGATTCGGATATTGGGTCTCATAGATATGTTAGATAGCCGCGAACCCCTCAAAAAGAACTCTTAAATTTCAGCAAGAACGTGGTTCGTCCGAAATCAGCGGAATGCCATCTCTTTAACCTGACAGCTCCAGCGTTCAATCTAAAGGTTCAAAGCAGCACATGGCCACCTGCCAACAAAAATGCTCTTTCGCATGTATATCTCACTTGTTCCCTCCTTAATGGCAGCCAGGGCTTGCTTGCCAACCAGGATCTTGGCCCTGTGGGGGTTGATCTTGGCGGTTCCCTTAAGTCCCACAGTCGTCGACTCCTCCAGCAACTCCCCTTCCTGTACACCGTGTTGGACGGTCGTCTCCTTCTTCACGGGCTTCGCCTTCTTTGACGAGGCACGTTTTGATCCGGTCTTTATTTTCCGCTTCTTTGCCTTTTGCTGCACAGTCGGCCTGTCTTCGTCTTGCTCACATTTTCGGTTTCGGACAGTCTCCGATGGTGCAGACACTGCGATAGTCGCGCTGCTATCAACGGGTTCGGCTTCCTTTGCCACTGATACCCCCTGCATTACAGAAACATGGGCCTTCAAGATCTGAGAAGAGTGGAACTCCACGTAGAACACTTTGGCAACAAGAAGAACGCAAACCGTAAGCAGACTACTGACGGTGACATGAACGGGATCATGCCATATGCGTTCTTCGCAGTAAATTGCGGGAGGACGTTTCGTTACGTGGGGCGTGAATTGCAACGATTATTCGGCGCTCAACACATCGCTCGACGTTGTAGTTCTGCGTCTGAGCCTTGAACCATCGGTCTGACAGGTGTCTGTGGAGGGACTTGATACCATTGTCAGTATTTGGAATTAACTGCGTTTTCCCTAATCTCCTTGCTCTTACGATCCTTCTTCCTATCCCCGCTGCATGGTCTGCACATTCCTCCTAGTTTTTCTGAGATAAATCATTGCGATCTTTGTAACGAACTATATTTAGATTTTTCGAACATCGATGTGAATTTTCCGATGTTAAAAGTGCTGGATGCATCTGAAATGGGACTTGTCTATTCCATACACTTGTCTCCCTCATTAAGTAAAAAATCGAAAACTCTATATTCAACACAACACAGGAGATGCCGCGGGTGCTTGAACAAGTCGACTGCGTTTAAACGCATTGTATTTCGGAGCCAAGTCGGTAAAGAATACAAGGCTCCTCTTCGGAGGATAGGTGCGCTTGCCTCCCGGGGACGACGCAAGAGAGCATGGCTACTGCTATCGTGGTTGTATCGTTGTATATCTCAACCTACCTCCAGTAATGCCAACATTGGTTTCGGTAGAAACAAATTGGAAGAAACTTCGCATCAATTTGCGGGGAAACGATTGTTTTTGCCGTTACTCTTCGCGTGCGCTCTCGCGTCTCGCGGTGCCGTTGCTGCAGATCCTCCTACTGCTGAAACACAGACTGCTGCTGTGTTTTTCAACTGGATGCTTTTCGGCGGGTAGTAAATCAACATTTCCTCTTGCGAAATACCCCGGCGGGTAATCGGGAATTACTTGAAGCCGGTATCGTTCCCTACAGAACGGGCCCGCAATTACGAAAATTCTGTCAAGAAAAGAAAGCTCAAATGTTGACGAAAAATAGGGGGAAAGGGCTAAGAAACCAGCTCAATCTCGGCCACAACTTAAGAAACATCCCAATAAAAAACACAATCGTGCGATCCCCCGAAACTCAAGAAACAACGGGCAGCTGGGGAAGCGTGTCCAATAAGAAACGTCCCTGCTCCATGCTCTCACCCCACTACCTAGCTCATGTAATTTTTTGGTGGGGGGGGAGTGGATATTTTTGCGGCGCCCCCCGTGCACCATCGCCGCCGCGGGCTGCGCTACCCACTGCTGCTGTACTACTGTACATACATACTGTAGTACTGCCACAAATCGCGGGAGTCAGGAAGTTCAGGAGGGCGACAACCCCAATCGATGTTCGCAACAACCCCGCTGTCGATTAAATGCTGCATCAAGGCTTGGTGTGTTGCGGTTTTCTTCGCCAGATCTTTGCCAGAAATAAGAAATTAAGAAAATATGAGCAGCAGGACGATGCGACAGCCCAAAGGAATTAAGAAACCCCTTTTAACAAATAGGCGGACTTCGGATGGTCCTTCGGGCGAGAACAAGAAAATTGAGGCTCGACCCGATTTTGACGTTTCTTCTCTCCAGGCCCGTTCTATATTTGTCCGTGTTGTCTGCTGTACAGCAGTTGGCCTGGAGAGTCCCCAGGCACACATGTGATAGGGTAGCGACGTCCTTGCCGCAGATCGTACTGCTGTAACCCGCTGCCCTTGCTCTCTCTCTCCATCTTGTGTTTTGTACGGCATTGCTCATGGTGTGTGGAACGTGTGGTGTGTGGTTTGAGCACGCGTTATAAAATAATTGGTTCGCTCTTGGGCGGATGAATGAAATATTTTGCAAATCCTGCGAAGGCTTTTTTGTTTCGGATTCGCGACCCGTGGAATAGAGCCAGCGACTTTTGAGTAGCCATCACGTGCACCACCGATGTCTAGCGAGCCCAACACGTAACGCGTAATGTACCGACGCGTCTAGTATCATGGAACATCGACATGCGCATTGGAACGCCCAGATCTGTCTCTGGGGCTCTGGGGGCGTGCTATCGAAGGCAGAAGTCGCGTTCCGAAAAGTCCCCAAACCTGGATCCAAATGTCCACATGTGATCGATAGCATAACACGACCCTGCTGTACGCGCCATCACAGACCCGATGCCCCAAACCGCTGGTCGTCGACGTCGGCCGGCGGTGTGAGGTTCTGCTGTAAACCCGCAATTCCAGAGATTGGGTCTGTGACCGCGCGTGCAGCCGTGAATGGCATGGACCGACCCAAGTTTTGGGGCCGCCGCTGCAGTCTTCCGGATGCAGGGTGCCAGAAACAGATCTGGGCGTGCCGTGTCGCTGATCCATGATGTCCTCTACCTTGGCTTCGAACACCAACACTTTCTGAAGCGGAAGATCGTTCGATTGGTTGGCCTCAAAATATCTTGGTTTGAGATTGTGAACCGATTGCCAGTCTCCCAGCACTTGTACCCGTACCTTCTAATTCGTTCTGGTACAACAGCTAAAGTCTGCACTTTTTTTTATTATTCCGGACGGAGTTGTCCGGAAACGGAGAAAATTGCTTGGAATTACCAAGAGGCCAAAGGTAAAGGCTGCACGCCTGTGCTGTCACGTTGCTATCACGAAGAACTTTTCTCACATTCGATGACGGCAAGTGAGAGTCAGCTTGGTCCTCAGTTGCGTCTGCGCTGACCTGGTTCATATGGCCTGAGGTACATACACAATACAAGAACACAGGATGGGCGAGGAGATGGACCCTATAGCCACGTCGTGCAGCAGTAGTAGTGAAACAGCGAATACGTATCCGTGAACAGAACAAACAAGCAGCGCATTGGCAACACTCCGGGGGGGGGATTCCAGCGTTGGCTGTCATCCTGCATCAATGTACACTCAAATCTAAGCGAGGATGTAGTAGTAGCCGACAGCCGGCACATCGCATCCTCGAAGCCGCATGTACACAAAACAATCGTTAGACTTTTCAAGTCGAGATCTTGTGTGACGAGGGAAAACAAAACTGTGCAACAACAAACAGTTGAGACCACTACATGCCATCAATGATCTTACGCCCAATAGCCTCAGACGACGTTGTGAGCCCCATGTTCAGCGCGGCAGGTCACAGCAGTCGGTGTGACCTCTGTGCTGTTGGTGTGTTGTGTTTTTCTGGATGTCCAGCGTATGTCAGGTTTGCGTCTCTTTTCCTTCTTGAAATCTCTGGTGCGCTCTCCTTCGATTGGTGACAGAGAAGCTCGATAGAAGGCTGTGGCACTTGTCTTGGGGATGTCACTTGAGTGCCGAAGCATAGGTGGAGGCACAGAACCAGATCGTTAGCTCCGGGGGGCACGCCGGAGTGATTTTTCGAGGCATTCTTGTAGATATAGGGGAGTGCTCATCAGAGGGTCCGCAGAATCATACTCGATGTTTGATCGCGCCGCTTCGCGCGCTTCACGTGCATGCATGCCGCTGCCGGCAGAGTGCTGCTGCTGTAGAAGCCTTGGCCTTGGAGACACCCGCCATTCCCGACAACATTCGAGAGAGATGAAAGATGATTACGTTTGGAGACGCTGGTGGCGCTAGCAAGGACGCAGCCGACCTCAGCAGCACCTTGTTGATGCGTGAGAGCCACAGCAGTGTGCCATGTATATACCGTTAGATTTTGCAGCTAGCTGTTGCATGGTGAAACCTGACCAGCCAGGCAGGTGCTTGATGGATGGATGTGAGGCGATTTACTGTACTTCACACTCCTTGAACTACATGCATGCATACCACTGAGGTACAGCAGTAGTAATACATATAAAGTACAACTTTACATGTGGAATGCGAGCTTCGGGATATGGACGACCTCTCTAGTCTAGATCTGATTTTAAGTTCATTTTGAGGAAATAAATGTGTTGTGGAGATCAGGCTTCGGCGTTGAACCGCTGAAAACACGTGAGGGTTGGTACTAAGGGCGGCAACAAAAATACCAATAGCTTGCTATGCCTAAATAACATTGACTTTTCGCCAGACACTACTGCTGCTGCTGTGCATGTTTGAAGTTCGTCTCCTGAAAGCAACGTGAGATTCAAGAACAATCGGCGCCGGGTCCCAATATTTCTGACCCGGAAAGCCCCCCTTTTCAGTGTTAGAGCTGATGTTCCTCCCCTATGTATGTATAGGTCCGTTCCCAGAACCGGAGCCTTAAGATCTGAATGTCAAAGCTTTTTCCATCCACATCTCAATCTTCACGCGAAACGTTTTCCGAATTTCTCTTACCCCTATTAATGGTAGCAGTGAATGGTGGTGTAGTGGCGAAGCTCGCGCGCTCGGTGGATGTACACGTAGACTGTGTAGCATAGTCTACGGTATGTGTGTCTGTCTCTTTTCTGTCAGAAGACGTGCTTTGAACTATAACCGTTACGTCTCATGCGTCTCAGATAATTACACCCAATCTCTTTTCGCCGCGAGGGCGATCGAGGTCATTGTTGTGCGGTATGGCCTAGATGAGATGACGTCATTCCCAGGGATCTGGTACACGTCGAGGAGACTGGGGTGAGGACGAGGGCAACAATACCGCTGGAACAAGGACCACACGCGGTTTGGGCAATGTTGAACGCTGACGACGCCGGCCTCGCGTCGAGATCGTCGGAAGGACTGGCGAGGATAGTGACCACATGGCTCTGTAAATGTTTGGAGCCTTTGGGGTGCCAGTGATGGAGAAGAAGACAGAGCTTCTGCTGATGCGGGCGCCGGAAAAGAAGCCGACGGTGGAGGCGCCACCTCCACCACCGTCAGGCACCACTGACGATCGAAGCAGCGAGACAGAGGTACCCCGAGACAGTGGAATTCCAACACCTTGGCCGTGTCAGATAAGATGATGAGCTCAGGCGGGAGATCAACCGTGAGAGCAGAGCCGTTTGGGCGTGTATCCGAAAGTACTGCCAAGAGCTCTTCACGTTGGAGATCAAAAGACTTTTGGAAGCAGAGGCGATCGAGGCTCTACTGCACGGATGCATGTACCAAGGTATTCCTCCTACCGCGAGAGTTCAGATGGCGCGAGGGACTCGGAACGTTTTGTTGTCATCGTCCGTTGCTTCCACTGTAGTGGCGAACGCTTGGAGATCGTCTCTCAGGCACTTCCGCTGGTTCTGTACGAATTACCCCTGGACCCTTCCCTTTCATGAGTCTTCCGTCCATCAGCCGCTTCGGGAGGCGTCTGTCGGGTTGTCTGACCCGTGGTCTAGCAAACGGTAGTCGCCCCAGCCGGGCGGTGGCTTCCTTGCGGTGGCGTCTGACCATTGTCAGGGTCTGGCTGGGCATCAGGGATAACCGATGTTTGCCGCGTATATGACGGTAACCGACAACTCGTAGGTGGTGTATCCTCCTCAGCAATAGGTGGTGGTCGCGCCGCGGGGTCTCGTCATGGGGGGGGCTCGGGCAGCAGAGAGGTTCATGGTCGTGTGTCTTAGGAGGAAGGCCAGCAGGCTAATAAGTAGGAAAATCGGGACAGCAAATAGCCGAACACAAGACATACACGACCACCGAACGGGTTGGGGGGGAGACCCAGGGGAAGAAGCGTGAAAATATCCAGTTAGAGGTCACGGCTGAAGCCGAGAACATGGCAGAACGTGTAGCGAGATTCACCGGTCTACATGTGATTGAGGAAGTGGCAAGAATACCAGCCTATGTATCCCCCTTGCGTTATTTTCGCCTATCCGCTCCCTCTCGTTGCCCCTGATATGATGTGGTTATTTTGTTATATAGCCATTGTTCAGGATTGCACCTGGGTACGGCGAGGAAGGGTCGGGCCAGCTACAACTTAGCATGAAGTACCCCGGCAAGCCGTGTGGAATGGAATCTCGTTGTTCCCAATCCCCTCCCGTATGATCACACGATTGATGCGCCTCGTCGTCTGAATCTCGCCCCATGCCTTGCTATACTTCAGCCTTTACCTTCCTCCCGTGTAGCCCTGGCTGATGAACAGTCTTTCCCGGGGATTTCCATTGCGAGATCGACCATGGTGGTGTTTTCCTGGGCGTCTTCCCAAGGGCCAAGGAGAACAAAATCGGTGCCGTTTCCATGATGCAAATAATTACCGACATGATTACATACAAAAGTAGACGACAGATTAGCTCCGGCACTCATTCCTCCGCAACTACCGCCCCCCTGATTACTGTAGCCAATGATCTACCTCCTCTCGCAACCTGTAAGGCAGGATCGCTGTGGCTGTTGCGGTTGCCTAATACACTGAAAGGGACATTGCGGCATAAGATATCCATAACTTGTTGTGATAGACCCATCCAGTGTTCTGAACTCTGAACAGTGAATGAAACATTCACTTCTTGTGAGGTATTTTCTTCCTCTCCAGAGACAGAACACGATATCGCAGCAAAGCGAAGCTTAATGTAGGTCACGTGACATAACCCGGGCGCTCGATCAGCATCGCGCTGGTGATTCGAGGAACGCGATGAGTGCAACACGCTACCTGTCGGTCCACTATTCAATATCATCCCGAGAAGTTCATATGCCCAACATCACGAACCCTCTTTCTTTTGCTCTTTCCGTTCTTTCTTGATCCCCAGAGGTACAATGGCATGTCTGCAAGGTGCCACTCTAAACGCGGCCATGCGGTATGTATCAGTTCAAGTTTGGGGTGTGCTATTTAGACACCCGCACGCACAAACGTCAACACCAGGTGGATAACGTCCACCATTATAGATGCACGATGGCAAGCATACTTCTAAGGCGCAGCCATGCGACAAGGTTTAGAATTACATACGCCCTCGCACTCAGTACGCTTTGTCATGTGACACGTTGTGTATTGCCAATGTTTTTGGACGTGTGCACACCGACACACACTTGCGACGAACGATGGGCTGCCTCTGTTCTGTGAGGAGAAAACAGGCGGATTTCAGAGTCTGGGAAGGGCTTCCCCGGCCTGTTGATGCCCAAGACGTGTGCGCATTGAGACACTTCGCAACGCTACATTCTAGCGTTCATTGCCGACGACGTTGCTTCTTCTGCGGCTTGATGGCCATCGCTAACTCTCATGTGGCCACCCGAGGTTAGCAACACCAGCAAGACCGCGCTCGAGGTCAGCGATTCTCTTCTCCATCTCCTCAACCCGCACTCGCAGCGCATTATTCTCCTCCGATAGCTGTATGAGATCCGAGACTGCCGGCTTCGAACCAAGCTGTCCGACATGGCCCTCTTCATGAAAAACAGCATCCAGCGACTTGTGGCGTTGTGGGCTAACGGCAGGGCGTCTGCCAACAATATCAGCACTGCTGCCACCGTACGCACTTCCACTAGCGGCCATGGCACTCGACAACCTCCCGGCAGCAACTTTCCTTGCAGATGCTTCGTAGGCCTCATCCGCAGTGATTGTGCTTGCCGGTAATGAGGTCGACGCAGGTGCTTCTTCGAGTCTGTCGAGACGGTCAAGCGCTGCGGACAACGCGGTGGCGAGCGTCGGTACCAGGCGGGAGTAAGCGACGGTTTTGTAACCGTTGCTGTCTTCGGCAACGACCTCCGGAGCCACCTGTTCAACCTCCTGTGCGATAAAGCCGTGTTGGCGACGATCTCCGTGAGTCCTCGTCTGAGAGTTTCTGGCTTTCGATGCCAGCAAGGCCTCGGGTTTCAGTACATACGTCACTGCCCTGTTGTTGAATATTGCCAAGATGGGGGGGGTTGAGCATGCACAGACGCGAAAACACACAAGTGGTGGGTCGGTGTCCGAGGTACAATCAGATTTGCTCCCAGTTGACCCGCTGAAAAATGGACCCCGACCTGTCTCCAACTCCACTCGCGTAGTCTCACCGCAAACCCTTCATGACGGCCATCGCGTCCGAAGCCGAGATATCCTTGACCTCCATCTTCATCCGCGCATCGGACGTATCCATATACGGCCCGCGGCCCATGACGGCACCTGAAACAGTAACCGAGCCCTCTATCATCACGTCCGAGGCCGTGCTAAGCACTCCGTCAACGCTAAGCCCCCCATCCCCGACCGATAGGGATGGGAGACCAGACACGCCGCCTCCCATTGTGAAGTTCAGACCGGGGGAGAGAAGTGCCTCGCCTCCAAAGTCAACGGTGCCGGTAACCTGAGCGACGGGGTGTTGGGATGGGTCAAGCGAACTATGGACATTTCGTAGTATTTGGGGCCTAGGGGTCGGGGCCGAACTTGGGGCAACGATCACGGCGTTGGAGGCCACTGCAAACAATGGTGGAGTGCATACCACATGGTCGTCGATGGCGCTGCTTGCTCGAGGAAACCTCTCGTGAAAACACATGAGAATTCCCTACCTTGTGACCTGAAATCATTTCCGTGACGAAAACACCTCCCTCGTCGTTGAACTCCATTCCTTCGGCGGCCCTCAGCTCGCCTTCATCTCCAACTACAACCACAGCCTGCGCACCCTTCTTCTTCTTCTCCTCCTTCTTCTTCTTCAAAGTGCCAATTTTGACGCGCCCGTCAACATCAACGTCCCCCGCAATGGCACCTTCGAAGGTCGCGTTCTGCAAGCGGGCGTTCTTGACGCCGGTACCTCGGGCATCCAACCCCGCCGACAGCCCAACCTCCCCGTCTATCGAAACGCCCCCAGCGATGAAAGTTTCTCCGTTGATCTCAACGTGCCCTTGGCATGTGAGCTGTTCGACGCTGGTCAGGTGGGCTATCGATGCCGATGAGGCCTTGATGCTTAGGTTGGCTGGGTCGGCTGGGGCCACGCTGCCGCCGTCGCTGACGACTAGAATTTCGCCCAGAGGATGAGCGTTGCTGTGCTTGTCGAGTTTCAGGGTCCTGCGAATAGTGAGCTCCTAGGGTACGGTTGAAGGGAAACGCATACCACGAAGAGATAGGGGAAAAGGGATGGAGGCGAAGTGGTCCAAACGCCAGAGGGAACGATTGGTGACTGCAACAGGGGGGGGGGGGAGAATACTGGAAGAGGATGGTCATGCGGCTGAACATTGGTTTCCTTCTATTGCTGTATTATCTGACCATGTTTACGATATATCTCCTTCACAGCCCATACCCATTCTGACGAGACTTCAGATCGTCGAGCGCGCAAGTAGGATAGAGGGAAAGAGTCCCGTATAAAGTGGAAGCATTTCCGCGACATCACCAACTACAACTACATAATCAGAGCAGCAGCCCACGACAGTATCAGCATCGGAACGGCAACAACGACGGCTCACATCGACGTGCTCAAGGTCCGGAGTCTCATAGTCGAAGTTTAGCAGACGGTGGCCTCCCAGGTCCAAGTTTCCCTCTAGAGTCGTCGTGCCGCCGAGCCTGACATCTTGAAGAGCACCGTCTTGCCAGGCCAACCCTCCACCACCCGACGCCAGTCCCAAAGCCTTACCACTACTGCCGATACTGCCATCTGCGTCTTCGGAGGTCTGGGAAGAGAAAACAGCCAGATGACCTCTCGACACGGACGCTTGGACGGACACCTTCAGGTTGCTGGCGTCGAGGCTGGAAATAGTTCCCCTGTGGTTTCGAATACGACGAAACGGCGGAGGGTCTTGTGTAGGGCGTGGTATTCTTGAGGTTTGTCTCGCGGATGCAGGGGATCGATGCATTCGTCATGTTGCCTGCGCATCCCTACAATATTTCCTCATCCCCACGGTGTTGCAGTGGCAGATGGGAGTAGCTCCAAACAGCCGAGTAAGGGATAACCCTGTGTAGGGAACAACGGCAGCGCTGACGAGTACAGTTCTCTCGTATATTGGAATCACCGCTGAAGGTCAGGGATGGAAAACAGGTCGTTTGCCCACCTCTCCATTCAGCAGTGTATGCATTTTGTATATCGCGGAAGACGCTTCGTTCCTGTGCATCGCTGACTACATCCGGTGTTAAAATTTTGGCGATGATGTCAGGTACGTTAAATGAGAACTGAGGTAATTCTTCGAAAACCAAGGCCGAAGGACTCCCCGGGTCTTAGTGGGAAAGCAGCCGAGAATAATGCACGCCAATTGTGCCTGACTACATGCAGTCAACCTCTTGTTGCATGCATACCCTCTAGTCGTCACCCTCCACACAGAGGCTATAACGTCCATTCCGGGATCAGCAGGTCGGGCGGGCGCAGAAAAAATGATCCCGTGCCCGCTGCTGTTGTGCACCACCACTCTGTCTTCGCCCGCGAAATGTGCATATTTTCCACCTTCGCAAAAAAACCATTTCGTCGCTCCGCGAACCCGCACCTTATCTCCGGGCTCTCGAGCACAGCATTCCGCATCGTGTTCCCTACCAAGTCCACGTCCCCCGTAACCTCGTGGGGGCCCAACCGAGGTGCCAGCAACGTTCCCGTCACCGGGTTGACGGAAAACGCCTCACCAGCCGACAGCAACTCTCCATCGCCCTTCAGAATCGCAATAGAACTCGGACCCACAGGGTTCGCTTGTTCGTTGCCGCTGGGATGGTTGTTGTCGGTGGTTTCTCCAGGGGGGGGGGCGCCGATGAACAGTCGACGGACTTCCAGATGGTGTAGGCCGGTGATGCTGGATACCCCGGAAAGTGAGATATTTCGAGCGGTGAAGCCCTGTTGAGCACGCGTTTGGTCGAAAGGTGGCAAAGACACAGGTGGAGGAGGAAGCAAGGTCAGCGCCACGACTCTGTAGGTTTAGGCTCTTGCAGCAGTTGGTATGTCGTGGATGTTTTGTTTGTAGGGTGACAAGCAAACCAGCAAGGTGCACTGCCGGCGGTAGATTTTTTAGTGCGACAGATAGCCACGGATGGTTTGCCGAACATGTACCAAACGCACTTCGAGCACACGCTTCAAAACCCACGTGATGAATACAGCACCCGAATTTGTTTTTGGCCGTTCAAGGCAGGTGCCGAAGGATTTTTTGGTACATCTTCTCAACGGGGTTTTCTCTACCCTTCACCCGAGATTCGTCAAGAACAGCGCTCAACCATAAGAATTCTTTGCCGGGGCTGAACTGTCAACTGGCATGAAAGGTCAAGCATATGGGAATCCCGACGCGAAGGAAGACATGGGGACTTCTTGGCGTCTACACGGCTTCCCGAGACAGAAACCTAGCATTTACAGCCTGTTTTTATCGGTCACTAGGAATTGACGGGAAGACAACGCGTAGGGCCATCTGGGGACAGCACATTAACCATTGGTTGCAAGACCCTCCTATGGCGCATGTAGCAAAGACATCATCCGACCGGGGGTGGAAAGCACATGTCATGTTTTGATTTCGGAACAACGAATTCTTCAACGCTGGGATTCTTGGTATACCTGAAAATCGACATCTCCGTGCTGCAGGTGAGGCCCGAGGCCTCTTACGTCGACGACCCCCCCGGGAAAGACGGCTACTCCTTCCGCCCGGGACAGTTCCCCCTTCTTGTCGAACACGCCAAGCCCGTATTCCGCTCCCGATGGCTGCACCACCCCCGCGAGGGACCTCAGGGATTCTGATCCCACTTTTGACACCCCGCTTCCGCTGCCAGTGCCCGTTTCAAGCATGAGACGATTGGTCTATGTTCCAGACGCCAGTATCAGTGAATCGGACGGAGGGAGGAGCAGCAGGACAAGCTAAGCAAGGCGTCGAGTTGATTGTTTTGACACTCTTGTAGTGAGAACGTCTCCCGCTTAGACGGGACGGTAACCCTAGAAAGTGTGTTGAGCTTTTTTCCATGAAGTTGAGGTTACGGTTGTTCAATTGTAAAGGGACAACAACAACCAAAACCGACACAACCGACCATTCTGGAGCAATGACATCCTTTGCAATGGGTCTGCGAAGGCACGCTCACACCCTGCCGGGCGGAAAGCTTCAGGTATTCACCGAAAAACAGCAAATAACAGACTCGCAGAAAGTAACACAAAGACCGAGTACGGCGGAAAACTACCATACCTTAAGGAATGGGATGCGGTCGATGGTGGCGTTTACGAGGGCGATGTTGCGAACCGGCTTACCCTTGAAGTCCATGCCTTCTGTAACCTAAAGGGACGGGAAGTGCACAACGACGCCGACTGAAGTTCACCACCTCTTGCAGTGGCGCGGTTAGTTGTTGGAGTTTGTTGCGCTGTGCTGCAATTGGATTTCGTCGAAGGCCTAAGAACTTCAGGACGTAATATTCCACTATTTGCTGGATATATGTAACCAACAAACTCTAAGGTATTGCTACAGATACCCCACTGCATCGGCCTTAGTTGTGGCCCTCGTCTCCTTTGCCTTTGAGACCTCGCCGGTGCCGGTGACAGGCGCAACAGCCGTGCAACGCTAATTTGAAGACAGCTTTGTGGGAGAAATAACACGCTCGTAAACTCAAAAGCGCTGTGGACTGCTTGCCTCGGAAGCCTGGAGCCGTGGTACTGTGAGCGTTCGAGTCTGGGCGTCCCACGAAAGCCCTTTGTCGGATGTCAGCAGCCCTCCACCACCGAACAAGGCCACCCCGCCGGCTTGGTTGGCGCTCGACACCAGATGCCTCGCTCTGCCGCCCAGAAGTTCCGTGTATTCATACCAAGCGTTCGACAAGAGTTGCGCGCGAGTGGGCATGACACCGCCTCAATATCGCTAGTTAGTACTATTGAGGCATGTTGGACGGGCTGTGACGGGGTAATAACTGGCAAAGGCGTCCCACGCAACGATGGTGCAGCTCCAGCCGAAAGGAACATGTTTCCATGTCAAACAGCGCCATTTTTGTTTTTTTTTGTCTTCACTTCAAATCAGCGCTCACAGCACTAGTGCCGTTTACTCCAACCCGTGGTCACACAGAAGAGCCCCTCTCTACCCTCCCCTTCTGCGGTACTTTGCCTTCGATTTTTAATGCGAGAAGAGTTCAGCACTCTGTTCCCTCTGTGTACACACGAACTAGCGCTATCCACTAGGCCAGGAGCGGAAGCGAGAGAAAAACTCACTTTGCAAGAAAAGCTCGCTTACGCCGGGATTCGAACCCCTGACCTGACCTCTAGAAGCTTTCGAGGATACCAACTAGACCACCGGGGCGACCCATTGGTGCGGTATATGTCGAGGTGCAGTTCGAGGGTTCTACGGGAAGGGCATGTGACGGAGCAGGAAACGCCTGTAGCCAACCGACATGATCTCCAATGCACCCACTGATCGTTGGCTCTGGAACCCACATACCGAAACAATGATACATGAGCATGAAGAACACAGCGTCGGGCGCAGAGGTGCTCGAAGAGGCGAGGGATGTGGGGATACGCGGTAGTAAACTGTCTTTGGTCACAGACCTCCTGAGGCAGCCGGCCAAAATCTCGAGGAACTCTGCTCTTACAAAAAGCTCTCAATGCGCAGCTTGCCGTATCGACAGCTCTCGTACACAAGAGTTCCAAGCGCAAAAATTGCAAGAAGCAACTCAAACAGTCGACAGAAACATGACCCACGTGAGGGAGAATTCGCCGATGTCAAGGTCTTCCGCAGCGGTGAAGGAGGAAACTCCACGAAGCTCTTTGACGTCGGCCTCTAGGACCCGGACATCACGCCAAGAGGAGCCATCGTGAATAAACAGCACGGTGTATCTGCATCGCGGCAGAAGTCAACAAGTCCAGCATGAACAAATCGCGCGGAAAGATTGTGGAGGGGAGGGTAACGGAACGAAACGTTCCTGATAAAATGTAACACTGTACACATTCAGCAAAAATATGCCTTCCGTAAACGTAGCGGTTCGATGTATGCCGGTTCGATGTATGCCGACTTGCGGATATTGATCACAACAGATTCGCTGCTGGTGCACGTGATGGTCTCTCCTTCGCATCTACCTCAACAGTGCACCTTCCCGTCCATCCCGTTTTTTACCCCTTCCTAATCCCGTCCCGAACTGTCCTCCTTGCTGAAACCGTTTGTCGCTTACCCTGGAGGAATGATGGCATCTCCTGATGTGGGATCGGCGTCGCTGTTGCGGAGCACGAGAATCTGGCCGCCTGAAGCACCTCCCTGCCAGTCGAGCCGGGCCCCACGTATTGCAGGTTTGACATACAGCCAGCACAAGCGGACAAACGACGAGGAAGGCAATTTTCAACGACGAACACGAGCCCCGCCAACAACACAACGCAGTGTACGATAGGGTAGGCGCGACCCACGCTTGTCGTTGAAGTTGTTCTTGGGGTAAAGCTTACAAGGCTATTGTTGTGTCGAGAGCAAGGAAACGAAAGAGCGGCGAGGTGGTGAAGGCACTGGTTGAGGGACTCAACGTTGGAGCTCGGGATATTCTGGGGTTTCTGTTGGGTTTCGTGTTGATCAGACTCGGAAATCCTTTTGCTTATGAGACAAGCCAGTCATCCAACAGGTACACTGACCTTTCTCGCGTTCTGCGGCATCGGTAGCACCCACTCGAAAAATATCATAAGGAAAGATGCAGCGCTGCATGACTTGCAAAATGCACCAAGTCTGGGTTGTGAAACGCCGAAAGTAGTAGCAGCAACCGTAAAACGCCAACATCGTCGTCGAACATCCTCGGGAGGAAAGCAACCTGAGCATTAATATCCAGAAGGTCGCGCAATCGCACCTTGATCCGCAAAATGTTGGGAGAACCCGCCCGACCATCGTCAGGTACCTCAAAGAACGTCCCGAGGCTTGCGTCAACTTCCACACCACTACTCCCCTCATCTCCGCTCTCGGTACCATCTTCGTCGTCATCGCTGTTGGTTCTGGGAACACCATCCGTTTGTCGGACGGCTCGCCTTTGCTCCAGAATGGTGGTACCTCGAGACACAAGACCGCCCGTGGCGACAAGGTTGCCGGAAGAGCCCGTCTCTAGGCCTCCCGTGGCGGTGACTCTACCGGTGCCATCGACAACGAAAACCTCTTCCCCCCTCTGTCGCTCGTTTGCCTGTTCCAGGTTGTTATCCTCGGTTTGTTCCCCCCCGCCGACTGTTGCCTACGCATTTGAGAGTTCGGTTAAACAGCATGAGAAAGGGGCTTGACATGAAATGGTTGGGGCATTCGCTGCTGTTGGCCATGGCAACCGTGTCTGGCGCGTGTTTGACCATGCCGGCTACAGGAAAATCAGCCTTTCCCTCCTTTATTTTGCCGTGTCACTGGTCGTTGCTGCCATGGTAGACTTGTCCTGACCTTCCAGCGCCCGCCACGAAAGGCTTCAGGTCAATGTTGTCGTGAGATGTCCCGGCAACTCTATCAGTGGTACCACAAACGCATCTCAAACATTACGCTTTAAGTGCTGTGAGAGCGTGACCCAAGTCCTCCTTGTCTCGTTGTTGTCCCGTTATAGTCGCCACGCTTGAGATTCGAGCACACCCGTGCGCGTGCACACACGATGGGCGGCTACAGTAGTAGGTGAGGTGATTGGTTGGTTTGCCGAATGTTTTTTTTTACTTGGGCAGAACCACAGATAGATAGCCCCCCTCCAAATCTTACCTGCAAGAGTCGAAAGGAGGTAGAAGGGGACACCTCGGGAGCGGAGACGGACACGACGGCACCACCAAATCCTGCGTTCACGGCTGAGGCCGTTAAAGCGGGGGTGGAAGCATCGCTCGAGGCCGCGCGAATACCGCCGTGTGCAACCTTGATACGATGAACAAGGCGTGAGAAGGGTACCGATAACAAGTTTCGGAAGATGATCATGAAGATACGGCACACATGCTAGAGGACCGATATCAGCAGTAGTTGACTGATGCCATTCATGCGACGAATGTGGCTGCCGTTGTGCCTGTGACACCGAACTACCGCCACGACCACCAGTCATCCATACGGCTGGTACAAGATTCATGCACACAACGCCATCTCTGATGTTTCACGCCCCGCTTAACCACAAAAACCAAGAGCAAGAACACCGTTTCGAGAATTCATGCTTCATCACACCTCGAATCCCCCACTGCGATCGCCACCGCCACCGCCGTCCTTGATAGAAAGGGTACCAGAGCGGAGAACGAGGCCACCGTCCACTGTGAGGCCGCCGGAGCTTATGGTAGCGCCGCCGCTACCCACTTTGAGCCCCCCGGCATCCACGTCTAGCCCTCCAGCTTTGATAGATGTCGCACCGGTGGCCTGTTGTACAATTTAAGAGTAAGCTTCCACATGGCGGGGATGGCTGCTGTCTACTGAAGTGTAGGTTCGAGGTCATTGTGAGCATGCAGGAGTAGGTTAGGCTAGGGGCGAGTAAAGGTGAGGTGTTGGATGCGTGAAGCTCCGGCGGTGATGATCTTTGATGTTGCCAATAGCTATCTCTCTAGCTCTCTCCTTCTCCCCTCCCTGTACGCCCCCGCCTTTGCTGGAAGCGATATTGTACTAGTCTTCCTCCGTGGTAATGGAACGAACACTGAGCTACATAGTTATGATGTGTGAGATTGACACTAACCACAACAACAACAACAACAATGGCAAAATTGACGAGGACGACCTTGTCTCACCTTGACCTCAAAAACATCTTGTCCAGCTGCCGATGCACGCAACAGAACTGCCCCCGCCGCTGCTGCCTTGGAGCCTCCTGCGTCGAGTCTCAGCACGTCTCCCGAAAAATCTTGATTGCTCGCAGATATTGCTCCGACGGCACCGGCTAAGCTTGTGCGGTCTTGGGTTGTAGGCAGTCGGAAGGCGGGCACGGAATGGAGGTTATAGGATGTGTCGATGAATCATTATGTCAAGGCCGGTGGACCTGGGACTGAGGATTAAGTGTGGCATATTCTGCCTCCTCTAGGGGCTGTGCTTTACGTAGGTTATCATCCCCTGCCAGAGACTGGTTGCCATTTCTGTCACCACCCTCGTAATACATATGGCAGTTGCCAGGAACAGCGTGCGCGAGCTGCCGTCACAACCCAGGCCTCTCCTAACATTGATAGTTTATGGTAGATAGTTGTCATTATATTATTGCTGTGATGTTTTGCCTCCTGCGAAGTTCGCGACACGGTCAGCGATGCGTACTGTAATTTAAATGATGTCGCACCTGCCGGCCCCGGTGTAGCAGATGATGTCGTGGAGACCTCGAGTCGACCATCTGTCACGCCCACGCTTCCACCGCTGGAAACAGAAATCCCCCCATCGCCGACGCCAAGGCCGCTCCCCACCAAGACATCCCCCTGAACAGTTCGGGGGCTTAACGTTAGTTGGTTTCTCCGTCGACGTTAGGACGTTCCTCGAAATAAGCGACTTCTAGAATGCTTGCCTTTGGAGCCGAGGTCGGGGTTGAGCGATGTGCAACGCTCGAAGCGAAAGTACTAAGGTACCTGAGTTCATTCCGCTCAGACGATTTCGCAAAAGTATATCTAGCCGGACACCCGCACAGGGCCCCACACCCGCACCATCGATTTCCCGACAGTAGTGTACGCGAGGAAGATGCATGTCAACAAAAAGCACATACATTTTACGTATCTGCCACAGGAGCTGTGGTCGACGTCCGCCGACCTGGACCTGAGTGCGTGCAATGCCCAACGGCGAACGGCTCCAACGTTTTTTCTATGCCGATTTCATCAACAAGAAGAAAAGAAGATCACATTCTCGTACACGAACAGGTTGTTGTGGCTTGATTGCTTCGCACCTTGAACGTAGCACCACCCCCAGAAACCTCCAGGTCTCCCTCCTCGAGAAGGACACCACCTCCGCCGGTCATTAGCACCCTTCCGTCGCCGCCCACCGAAAGCAAAACCTGTTTCTGGCCGCCGCTGTTTTCTTCCTCGCTAGCACCCTCTCCTCCGACCGATAGCTCAAGGAGTCGGAAACTTTTCGCTCCCGTGCCTGATACAAGGTGAAGAGCAAGCGCGTTGTCACACTCACTATCGGTACCCCACGCGATGAAGTCAGCGTCAAAGTACAAGCTGTGATTCTGGGATCCGCAGGATCTACGAACAGTTCTTTTTTCTACCTTCGATGCCAATTGCCACGTAATCGGTGTTATCTGTCCATGATTTCGAGACACCAACGTAGGATAAGCGACGGGAGCTCTCAGCTCTTGTAGGAATTATGGCGATTCCTTCACGTCGCAGTGTGTTTCGCCTCAAAAAATTGCCGACACCGGTGAGAGGTCCAGCATACCGGATCCACCCATACCCGCCCCCCGCCTCTTTTCTTGATAGCTGCATACCGCCGCACCCGCTGCCCCTTCTTCAATCCTCACCCGGGCCCGACTCCCGAACGTTCACCGCCAAGGCTGCTCCGGCGTACGAAAACGCCTGTTCCTCGTCCCGCCTGTCGGTACCGTTTCCGTGGAACGCCCCATTGCCCCCTTCTTCCTCTAGATCATCCCAATCAAAAGGACCGACTGAGACCAGAAGCCCAGGGGCGTTTTCACGAGTAGACAGGACCTCTGCCCCTCCGCCACGTACGTTGAGAGAACCACCCGAAACGGTCAAGGCCTTTGGCGGGCGTTTAGTGTTCCACTGGGGGTGCTCCTCGGCGGGGAAGGTTGTACCGGTCCCCGCGGGGTCATATCCCGGGTAGATTGACGCCGGGGGCTGAATGTGCAAAGAACCTTCGTGAAGGACTAGATCGCCCGCACCAGTAAGCGTCATGACCTTCGAATCGGATAATGAGACGGTGAGTGCCAGGAATGGTCACCTTGCAGTCAACGATTGCGATGAAAGCACCAAACAAGTCCGACATCGGAAAGAGAGTACAACTACAGTAGGTCCGCCTCACCTAGGAAAAGAGAGTACAACTACCAATATACAGCAGATCCGCCTCAACTAGGGTCATTCCTCCTTCACCAAGGCATTTGTTGTCTGTGTCAGAGGTATTTAGATTTCTTAGTGGACCCTATAGGGCTGCGTACATCTGGTTCTGAACTTGACCATGCCGAGCATCAGGCCGGCCTCTGAAAACGAGCACACCAAACAACTGTTGTCCAGACCAAAAGACCACCACATGTTTTTAAAAACAACGGCCCACGACCCTACGAATGTTGAAACAGAATTCGTGCCATCTAGCCGGCCTGGCCCAATCTCGGGGCCTTGCTCACGTCGTGTCGTCCAGCAATAGCCCTGACGAGGTCGTAGTCGGTGCTGAGCCCCCGGTTGGCCCTAAGCTTGAGAGTAGCTCCCGTAAAAAACGGGCCCTCCGCCAGGATTACCTGTGACATCCACGAACGGTAGCACACGGAGGCGACTTGGTCCGACGTGAGACGATTGGCCGTGACGTGTTGGATTGCTCTCCACTCCCCGGCGAGTGGCTCTGATACGCTACGTCGGTACCTTCTGCATGTCTCTGCTACGTCGGCTAGGAAAGTCTTATCACGTGGTATGTTCTCCCTCCTTCCAGTTCGATCGTCTAACATGCTTAGGTGCCAGACACCCCCGTGGTTTTTCGATACACGCCCATTAGCTGGTCGGGTGTTGAGAGGAGTTTCAGCGAGCGAGGTGTGCTGGCTAAAATAGCAAGGCATGAAAAGTCACCACAGCGAGATGGCTGGAAACAAAAGATCTAGACTCGTTCGTTCCCACCCAAAAGCCAATCGGATTGTCAGCACGCCGATCATTTCTTCCCCCCGTCTTCCGATTCATCAATAGTCGCACGGCGTCTTCGTTCACCGATAGTGTGGCATCTCTTACTGTACAGCTCCGGGACGAAATCACATCGAAGAGTTTTATTTCGATGCACCCCCTTTGCTTTCTCGCGAGAAGTTAAAGGTTCCTAGCAGAAGAATATTGACGAGCACGCGTATTTTTTTCGCCCCTTCATCGGGACGACAACCACATTCCTATCAAGACGTGTCTAGAGTCTTCCCGTTGTTTTCGACTGGGAACACCCGTCACACGCTACACACACCTGCGCGTCGTCCGAGTCAGAGATGTCGTCGCAGGCCTCTCCGCCGAAACCGAAAGTGCACTCACAACGGCCCGTCTCTCTCACACACCTTCCGTGTCCTGAGCACTCCATGTACTCTGCGTGACGAGATAAGCTTGAGTTGTAAGAGGGGGGCGCAGCTGCAGGTACGCGGGGTTCGAAAACGATTTCTCGTTGGTATCGCTCGGCCGGTACAAACGACACTTATTGAACCTGAATCTCTTGGCGCGAAGCCCAGCTGGCTCGAAAACGGTAGAGTCCTACCGTTAGCAAATTGGCGTATCGTTCGTGCATAGCACTATTCTACGTAGTGCTAATACGTATTGGCGCTGTGTCGTTGACATTCGCTGTCCGTCACCTTTGACATTCTCGGTGACCATGTCGATGAGCTCGCACGAAGACGAAGCGGCGGAATCCGCTTCGCTCGATATATTGCACGAGAAAGCCTCCAAAGCAGGGTTTCCAGAGTGTCCGTAAAGGTTGTTTTCCCAGGGTGTGGTGGGAAACCTGTATATTCACCGAGGGAACGAGAAAGTTGGTGCCCTGGGACCATGACCAACGTCTCACCAGGGTTTCCGGGCTTCAATTTAACGCTCTTCGTAGATTACCTCGCCATTGCCTTGTCTATCAGGGCAAGACAGGCCGACATTCTTTACGATGTTGAGATCTATTCCAGGGGCAGAAAGCACCCCAAGGTCTTCTCCGTGTCTCCGAAAGCAACGCATGCATTGATTCGCGTACCTTCGCTAGCAATGGGCGTTTCGTGTTATGATTTGTCTCAATTGCCTACGCTGCGACCACTGCACTCATATCAATCTCTCTGGGTGGTAAATGTTGTGGAGCTCGTACTCGTCTGAACAGTAGTGTCTTCTGCGACAACATTCCAGGAGCGGAAGCTGCGGAAACGAGGACGACGAAAACAACAACAACTCCGGGATAGCACCGTTCGGCTACGTTACACAACCCTACAGTTCACCTCAGGAGTGATATGACATAGTCTGTACCGCCGAACTCGCTGACGGCGCCTCTTTGACACCCTACGCGGTCGATGTTTGGCAGCATCTGGAGAGCAGCGGCACACTCCAGGTCCCCTGTCTGACGCGCGTCGGCGTTTAGAGTCGTTGACTCTCCGTTGAACGTGACCGTCAGCTCGCCGCTGATGGGGCCTTCTTCCGCCGTCGTGCGTAGAAGAAGGACCCTATCGGCCTGGTCGGTGGTGAGAGGATCGTCGCCCTTAGGGCACAACCCTGAAGACGTGGAATACGACAGAAATATGTCGAGTTAGAGCTCGAGCATCGACCGATGAAACGAGTTATTGCGAAGGGGGTACCCGGGTAGAGTGGAGGAAGAAGAGGATATGAATGTTCTGAGTTTGTCTCCCATCGTGTTGTTATTGCTGTCGAACCTTCGTTGTAAGATAATGAAATAAATGCAAAACGCGCCATGCTCTGCGAAAGGATACGATGTGCATCACGTAGGACGAAGATTCTGTTTGTGGCAGAGTATCAGGACCAGCCTTGGGTGTGACGCTGTTCGTAAGTCTACTGTGCTGTAGAGAGCAGCCTACACATTGACCACACTACACTGTACATAAACTTACGCGATACATTGTAGTCCGTCCTCTCCCAAGGACGGGTTGATACCTGTAACTAAGCCTCCTGAGCAGAAACTTCAGCGGGGTGCGGACATGTTCACACGCCAAGACGCATTCCCATTGGAATAGTTCTCGCGAGTGCAATACAGTCAGTTGCAGCACAATATATTGTAGACGACCTCCTCACACATCGTAGACCTAGGGACTGCTGTAGACGACAACACTACTATGCACGGAGCGTGACAGTGCTCTTCACTACCCTACACTACTTACATGACGAACTTCTCTGTAGTAAAGGGGGTCAAAGGTAGCTGTTGCGGTACCCCGAGAGAGTACAAGTAGAGTTAGTACAGGGGGGCATGTGTAAATCTTACTGAGAAAATCTACCGTGCGCATCCAACACAGATCGCGCCGCACCGAATCAAATGTACAGATGTACAGATGTTCAGCAGTACCACATTCGCATCTTAGCCAAACTCACGCGTTCCACAATCGTCGCCCTGGAAGCCCATCTCGCATATACAGAAGGCATCGTCGCCAGGCCCGGTGCAGATGCCGTGCTGGCTGCACCAGTTTGGACACTTGGCCAGGTAGACAGGGACAAACACGAGGATCAGGAACAAGCCATATCCAATCTGCTGCAGCGCAACAGCACGCACGATCCGCCCGAACGTGACGTTCGGTGGCCGGGGTACCACCATTGTCCCAGAAAGCGTACCGTGGGCCTAGACGCACAAGTACAACCCGTGCGCTGGTGCAGCACCCAGGATCCCTGTCCCAGCCAGGATCGATCAGGATTTGTCAGGATCGCGAGAGGGCGCCGCGAAGAATCTATGTTGTGTTGCAGCATACCGGGAACGAATGTTCGCGCCATCCGTGAACCCCCCTCACCGATCTTGGATCTTGGACCTTTTCTGGTCTATATACAGCGGTAGGTGCGGGTGTGTTGGATCCACCAAACAGGGCAAAGCTTGCAACAGAGGCAGCCCGGGGTTCGATGCCACCCCGCACAGAACCAGGATGGGACTTCCTCAGAACGTTCGAATCGAAATGCCGCACTGGGTCCGCCAACCGACGGTGAGAATCTCACGGTGATAGGAATATCGTAGGCAAGATGCGTGTTGTACAACAGAAAGAGAGGACGGAGGTAATTAATGTAGATACAGCTAGGAAGGGCTGCAGAGGAAGACTAACTATTGTCCGCCAATAGAGAAGGTAAGACTGCCAGCTACGGTTGACTTTTCAACACACAGAAATCATGCCCTCGTTTTCAGCGCGGCGTTTTGAATGGCAGCCCGCCCCCCATGTATAGCAAATCTACGGCCACCGAGCCCATTTTAGTCGCCACCCCGTGCCCGCCACGTTGGCCGTAGGTTGCTGCCAGACAATCAACATGGCCGACCCAAGCAAATTATGCTCAATTCTTTTTTTGAACGGGAAATAGAGTGGTCACGTGCCTTCAAAAACGTATGTGTCTGTCTGCACGTCTGCACACAAACCACACACCACGATCGGAGTTGCGCCGCATGTAGCTACGTGTTCGGTCAGAGTATCATGTGATGGTCCCAGAGTCTCTGCGCTATAATATCTACAGTAAGTGAGACACATCAGTACTTCGCTACCTTTCATTGTCAACCACATGCAATGCTTGTGATGTGTGCACCACCAAATCCTCGCACAATGTCCTAGTAATATGAAGCTGTCAAAAATCTCCGAAATTTCGTGCGACCGACCTCAGTTTTCAATCTGAACTCGAGGCAAGATATTTGTCAGTACATTCGCGAGTTGGAGTTTTCCAAATACTGTATTACGTAGCATCATATGTTTCTTTTACCCACACATTATGTCGCAGCATCCAGTGTTTTGGGCTTAATAACTCCTTAGCTGTTCTCCCGCCTCCAGTTGTTTCATCAGCCTCTTGATGCTTTTCCATTTGTTCTGTTGGGCACCTCTCGTAGCCTCTTGCTGAACCTGTAGTTCCTGTTCATCAGCTCTTTGGTCTTCTCCTAGGTCTTCCTCAGATTTAGTCACGGTGTTCATCTTCTTCATCGATCGAAAAAATGAACTCGGGTCTAGGCCGATATCCATTGATGATAACCCTGCTGATATTGGGCTTGTACAGCGCAACGGCAGTCCTTCGCGCTCTGCGTTTCCATTCAGCATGCATGTGGTTAGACTTATGCCTGTTGTTTGACTAGGAGACGTCGTGGTGCGATGCACCATCTTTTGCTCCTGGTGCTAAGCGTACTCGTACAGTTTTTCTCTCAATAATGCGGGCTACAGCCCGACCGCGTCGAGAGATATTATGACGCACTCCTTGAGCAATACATCTCGACTCCACTCGGTGTACAGGAGAGACATTTGGCGATGATGAGTGTAAATTCCTGCCGATTCCAGTGTGGATCCATCTGCTTTAGGTCTGACGCTTCTGTATGTATGTCACACATGTTAACACAGGAAAACTTGCGAGCAAGCGGCCGCGGCCCTCGATATTGACTGGACACTGTGCGACGAGTTCGACGGGGAGTTCTCAAGCACCCGCCGTTCGCCGCGGTACCCGCCGTTAGGTCCAAGGCCTCCGTTCTACCACCATCCACCGCCCGAAGCCCTTCAAAATTGTTCACCAGAAGAAGTTTACGATCGACCTTCACACCCGCAACGCTGTTGTAACGGCGACACTTCTCGAGCAATTCCAATTATGGTACCCCATCTGACGGAGACCGAATTACCTTCCAAAGCTTCTCCGAGACATTTGGTGACAACCATTGCGTTGCAAACCCTGTCTGAACAAGAGCAACCGTCGTCCAACTCGAACAGCTGTGTTTCGGAGCCGAGTCATAGAAAGTTGAGGGGCGGTACTTCCAGTAGTACGAGAAAAGATGCAGCATGGCGAAGACCCGCGCTATCTACCGTTGTCGTTCACAGTATGGCGGCAACGGATGATGGTCGCGATGTTGTCGATAACGGGAACTTCAATGGTCTCGGTGGTCCATTATCCAAGCCGTCTGGTGTGGAGCAAGTACTTGCCCACAGGAAACGGCGGCGGCGTGCAAACTTCGCCGTATCGTCGGCGCTGGTGTTGTCCGGCTCAATGGAGGACATCTTGGTGCCGTCAGAGCCCACTCCACCGCCACCACTTGGCTGTGGGCGTGACGAGGTCGCCCCGGTGCCTGCGGTGTGCGATGCGATCCCGAGGTCAGAGCCGAGGGAAGGGCCTGTGTTGTGCTGGTCATTGTCGGTCTTTGGATAGGTAATGTAGACTGGTAGAAGCGTGCATGCTGCTTTCCTCGCCGATTCCAATCCGTACAAAGACTCCCCCCCATGGCTGAGGTACACACAGTTAGTTTATTTTGTGTACCCGACAATTTGTTTTTTCAGTGTCTGCAACGTTCGTGTTCCTCGAGTTTAAAGAGGCCAGTGCTTGGATGGCAAATAGAGAGACCACGTCAGGAGGCAATGAAGAAAAGATGAAAAAATGTTCTCCCGTGCCATTTGCAGATTTCACAGCACGAAATTACACGAAATTACACAAAAAGGTAAGAAAATGGTGAGACCACGCCCGTGTGTCCGAACATACTCCGAAATGTATCCACACATATACATACCCAAATACCCGGTACATACGCGTACCACATTGAAAATACGTTTGAAAACTGAGGGAGATTGCATTCCCTACGGCTAAAAGGGTGCCACACACAAAACGCCCGACCAGTACCTAACACATATCATCTGCACCTTCCCAACATAACATATATGAGACACACAAGACAGCTACCAAACTGTCTTGTTGAGCCTGTTACCCGCAGGGGAGATGTCCCTATATGCTGTCTGGGAAATCGTAGACATACAGACAGGTACTTTCTGACGCTATGAGTCCATTTCTAATCTGTCTCAGACTCTTTTCTATGATAGAGATGGTTTCGTTGTGTCATATTAAGAAAAAAAACACACACACACACACACACACATGAAACAGTCATTTCCCTCTCCGTTTTATTGCTCTCTGCGGAATGTGTAGACCCACCGGAAGCTAGTAGCGAGGTGGCACGGAGTTTACAACCCTGCTGCCGAAATCGCCGAAGTTGTCATGCATTCCCGTAAAGGTCCACCAAAAATTGTTTCGCCTCGGTGTGGTATGCAGTCGCGAAATGCAAACGGGTTTCAAACCCGCCAACCTTTTATCTTGTGTCTACACTCGTCAGCACCTTTGGAGCGTTTTCTGTTATACACTACAGCGATACATCTCTTCAACAACCGCTGATCCCTCCCGTTCTTGTCATGATTTGGTCTCAGCCATCATACAATCTCCGCGAGCTCTGGATGCTGGGATATTTCGCCTGGCCTGAGAGGTCCACCGGGCGAGGAACAGAACACCGTCGACGTAGAGGATCTAAAGGAAAAAACTACCGTTGTTGGCGTACTTCAGTCTCGAGACGAAGAACGGATCAATCAACACATGAGCGATGGACAGGATGGGGCCATTCCACGAAAGTACGAGCTCAGCCACTGATCAAGACCTACGGGTCGGGCGCACTCGGGACCTCGTGACTTTCGTGCCAGGAAGGAGTGGAGGTAGTGCTGCGATGAAGGGAACACGCGGGGGACTCGACATGGCACCGTCGAGTTCAGAAACGGTGCTAAGCTGGAGCGGGGACCAAGAGGGAAAATGTTCTGCGAGAGCAAAGCAGGGCGATCGGCATGCGACTGGACGTGTTGCAGACGAAAACGAAGTCTACGACTGCAATACTTGTCGAAAGCAAGCACCGGCCTTCGGAGAGGTACGAAACCCACCTTCGCCGTTGCCCCCGCCCCCGGTGCCGGTCAGCCTCACCACTCGAGGACACAAACCAACGGTGACGTGGATGACCCCAAACCAAACCCTCTCCGCGCGGGAGATCGCGCCATTGCATCTCTGCGATGGCAATGGTCGAGAAGCGTTGGTGGAGTCGTCGCGCGCAGAGCGCACGCTTTCTAGAGACAAACCCGGGTTGGCAGTAGGCTTCGCTGGCCCGAAAAAAATCGTGGTTGAGCCCTTGAAGACGGGATTTGGAAATGAGGCAACGCCGGTCGTATCGCCGACAGGACAAGACCAGGGGTTGGATCAAGATTCGTTGCTCTCTTCGCCTCTTGATCAGGCGTCTGAGACCCGTGATCAAGAACCCGTCGTAGGCCGAGAGCATGGCAACCACTGTGAGGCCAAGAACATGACGCGGGCATTGTCGCTGTCGGAGACGTGGGACCGTTCGCAACGTTGGCACAGGATGAACAAGAGTGTGGCAGACCCATTGGAGCGGGATGGTTGGGGTGACGACAGCAGGGCAAACATGGGTGGTCGGCACGGGCGATCGCAGATTCTCTCATCGGCGTTGGCTGAAGATGCACTGTGCGTGCCTGGCCACTTGGCTGCGTGGGATAGGAGCAAGACGCAGGGCCTGCTGCGCGAAGAACACCCAAATAATGGTAGCGATGCAGATGCCACGGGTGACATGGGCATCAGAAGAGATCACGACACGTCGCAGGAGCCAGAAGGAGACGCAAAGACTTCCTCGGAAGCCATCGATCGTCGCTATCTTCAGCACGCTTTCAAACGATGGCAATGTGCAGCAGCATCCGTAGCGGCAGCATCGCGACCTGTTAATCATTCTGAAGATCTTCGCTGCAACGATGTTCCGTCGTCGGCAGGGGGTTGCCAGCGTGAGGC